TAAAGTCGCTGAACACTGGTAGTTCGGTCCGAGGTTCGAATCCCGCGAACATGCTGGCTGCATGGGTGTTTTCGTGCTTTTCCCCATGTGTAACGTGTATACGAGCCAGTTTCCCTTAGAAAGTCCTCCACGAAGGCATCCCTCCGCTTAGGCAGATAGCCATAGCGTGCTTTGCCATAATTAAATACACACACCAAATCCTTCCTAACTTATTATCTCACCGGTCATGGCCCATATTCAGATTTTCTTAAAAGAAATCACTCTAATAGCGACAATTACGTCTGTGGAGTCAAATAATATGCAGACTATTATGTGTTCTTCTGCCCTCTTAATACACCAGAAGCTCAGTGCCCTAGGATTGGACCTATGCCAAGTCAGATCTTAGGACCGAAAACGGAAAAGCGAAAAGAGGAATGACTAGGTTACACCTCAATAATTGATTACGAACAACATCAACAATTTTTATGCTTCAATACACCAAATTTACTGAGCTGAACCCATGAACTTTGTAGTGGTAGTAGTGAATTTCCTAGCGCAAGACCTTATATGTCGAAAACATGTCACACGTTGAAAACATGTCACGTTGAAAACACGTCACACGTCGAAAACACGTCCGACGATTTCCACTCCATATGAACTTTGAACTGAAATATTTGAGCTCATTTCAGTCTTACGTATAACAAATATCCTCACATAACAAGAACCAAGAATCCCTATACATTAGCAAAATCAAATCCTACATTTTTATTTACTTACTTAAAAATGCAAAAATTCCAGTGCAACGATCTCCAAAGTATCAGCTCTATTATATTTATGTAATCCAATATTGCAATGAGTAAACTCAACAGTTTGTGTTACATTATGTAACTTTGCCTAATTTTATATTATCAGTCTTATGTTTAAATGTAACAACTCTGATGTATAACTCCGATGTTGCTTAGCAGAAATAGCATACAGTATAGTCAATTTCAGTTTTTTATACTCTAGCTGGTTAGTGTATTGGGTCAATATGTGTTCGATTCGTATTCTCTGGTGCCCCATGCACTTTTACCTGTTTACCTGTTTTGAAAAGAAATCCTTTTACTATTTTATACTAGCTGACTTTGCTTTTTTATTGAACTTTTTACTAATTGCGAAATCTCTTTTTTGTCACATAAACCTGAATGCAATTTATATCTTTTGCTACAAAAGGAAATATAAATGAACAACTTATTGCTGTTCCACCTGTTATTTGAATTTAGCAAATTTTATGTAATTTTCGCTGTTTATAGTATCAGCAAACTGATAAAATTTTCTAAGTTTCAGCTTGCTTTTTCCGAGGAATTTTATAGCTAACCATTTCATTACTTTTATTAATGAATCTTTATAAAGCACTGCAATAATTTTAATCTGCTGATTCAAATGAAGGTCTCTTCTAGGTCGCTCGCGTGAAAAGCTCTAAACTTGCACTAGCATAACAGCAAGAGTTTTCGGGTTTTAAAATATACTGCCCTCCAAAAGTTAAGAAACAGCACGTTTTTCAAAGCTCACCATTACAAAAATGTCAGAACATTTAAATTCACAATTTATGTTCTTGATAGTAATAAAGTTTAAGAAAATATATGAAAAAACAATATCTGGCAATTTTATTTTATAAAAATGCATACTTATGTAAAAGTTGGAAAAAAAATGCAAAACTTATAAATTTTGTTCACGAGTGTTGATATTTAATTGATATTAAAAATTTCGTTGACAATATCCAGGAGGTTCTATCAATGTCCAAGAGAAGTCGTTTGCCTGATTTGTTGAGGTAGCGGGCGATCGAACGGAGGGAAATGGAAGTTATTTAAGTGCACATCTTTAGCCTTTATGAGGTACTTTTACTTGTCTTACAGCCTTTTACTCGTCTTACAGCCTTTTACTCAGCTGAATCAGTTACTAAAAATGAAGTTGCTCTCTAAGCATAATTTTTACTAGTTCTTTATAGAGGGTTTGGCCGTAAAGTAGTACTGAATTTTTTAAAAACTTTCATTCACAGTTTTGATACGTCGAATTAATAGTTTTCAAAATATGCATATTCTGCATCAAAATAATGTTTTCAGCGACTCCTCTAATCGCTAAAGGCTCCCTGAAACGCAGAAACTGGAATGCTTTTCAGCTCTCTTATTACGGCCTGGATAGAGGCGTAATGTCATCCTTTGATGACTCTTTTCAATCGGGGGAAAAGGTGGAAGTCTGAAGGAGCGACATATGGGTTGTAGGGTGGCTGGAGAACTTGTGTGATGCTATGTCTGGCCAGGAAGTCCATGACAACATAGGTGGCATGGCTCAGTGCATTGTTGTGACGCAACGTCCATGATTCAGCGATTGCTGGACGGACGCGGACGACTCGTTTTCTGTGTGTTTTAAATACTTCCACGTATAATGCAGCATTCGACTCTGACCAAGTGGTAAAAATGTCTGTGAACCGCTCCTTTGCTGTCAAAAAAGATGATCAGCATCAATTTCATCTTCGATTCGCTCTCTTCCCACCCGAAACAATTTGTGCCACTCAAAAACACTTGATCGACCATGGCTTCATTCCCATAAGCAGTCTTGATTATGTCATGGGTCTCACTCGCAGTTTTACCCAGTTTAATGGAAAACGTCGCCTCGTAGCACTGCTATAACAAAAGATTCGTTGTGGAAATAGCAAAGCATCTTGAAAGGGGTTCACTTTAAACTCGATCTACACTCCATGAAAGCTTGAGATGACTGGCGACTGGAGAGCTGATAGTTAAGATCCCCCACAACCTAATCAGCGCAGTAATATCCCCCTCCTTTACTACGTTTTCGCGTGAAAAATCAGTCCTACCACTTCCCGGACAAACGCTGTATGTAAAAGGGAAATTCGAAGGAATTTTTCTACGCCTTATGGCGCTGATCTTTTTAAAGATGTCTGATGCAATGTTAGTATTGAGTTAGACTGCAGCCTCAATAAGTTCAGATCTTCTGATATTATGTTAAAATTGACACAGTAGAAAAGAAAATTTCGAAGATTATTTTGTAATTAAAGCTTCAAAATCATACGAAAAATATCTTTTATTTGAAAATTTAGAATTTCATTTTGACGTTCTTTATATTAGTAATTTTTGGTATTCTTGCATTTGAAAAACTTAAAATACAATACGTTTGATTATGTAAAGATAAAACAACTTATTCCTTCGCGATTAAAAGTGTATTAAAGTAGTAGAGTGTGCGTGTGTGATTATGGCAAAGCCTCGAAGGCTATCTGCCTAAGGGGAGGGATGCCTTCGTGGAGGACTTTCTAAGGGAAACTGGCTCGTATACACGTTACACATGGGGAAAACCACGAAAACGTCCATGCAGCCAGCTCGTTAGCGGAATTCGAACATCGGACCGAACTACCAGTGTTCAACGACTTTACCGCTCGGGAGCTGGTGGGCTGTTAAAGTAGTAGCAAAGCAAATACGAAATATGCGTATTTAATTTTTTTCTTGCCTATATATTATTACATAAAAGAAGCTTTTTCATTCAGATGATACATTAAAACTTGAAATTCTTGAAAAGCCGATTTGGTATAGTTACGGGTACCCCTTGTCGAAAATTGACGATTTTTGGCGGTACATGGATACCGAGTTTGTGCAATTCTTTGACTTGTTGTTTTGTCTTTGTGTAGCGGCGATTTTTGCTACACTGTCTATCTGTCTAAGGTGATGTATGCTTTCAGGAAGGGCTTTTCAAGGAAAACTGGCTCGTATACAGGTTAGACATGCGGAAACATCCAAAAACGCCTATGCAGTGAACCCGTTCGCCGGGATTCGAAATCCGGACTGAACAACGAGTGTTCTGCGATTTTACTACTCGGTCACTCGTGGGCTGTGCGGACAGTAGTGCAAAGTAAAATCAAATATATTTCACGAATCCTTATGAGACACGATGACTTAGAAGTTCCTTCCAACCCCCAATTTTTTTTTCACTTTTGATTATTTGAAATCAATTGCTATACAATTCAAAAATCTGCAGGAAATGAAATATGGGTTCTGTAGTAAGAAACTAAAGTTATCATTGTAAAGAAACTGCTATGTGCGTCATTTGAAAGTTATAATAAAGTAAGAAAGAAGTTCAGCTAAATTACAAGAACAAACACAATTACATCAAAAATCAAAGACTGTAACTTAAACAGATAAAAGAAATATTTTTTTCGTTTTTCTACTGAAATCTACAGTATCCTGCATAGATAGTAACTTCAATTTCTTGTGCTGAAGTTTTATGGCAATTTAATAATTGTTCATAGGAATCTTTGAGGAATGACATTTCAAAACTTTTCAGTATGTTTGACACCAGTGCAATATTATACAAAATCATAAAATGTTTCATATTTCCAAGAAGAGAACCATTTAGCAACTTTTGGGTATCTTGGATCGTTTGTCTTAGTATAAATCGGTAATTATTCCTTAATTTTATGACAAGAATCATGCTTTTAAACCTATACAGTCACCTTTGTACAGATAGCAATCGAGCATTTTGCAGTAATTACGAGTAAACAAACCAAATCAAACCAAGGCATATGCATAAGAGATATGTATTATTAAATATTACAGCCAAAGTTATTGTGCATTAAACTTCACTAAACACAATATTTTTGAATTTCAGTAGTTGTATTCCAACTTAGTATTTACTCTTTAAAAAAATTAAGTGATAGAAATCTTTGCAATACTCACAATTATGCATTATGTTTAAAGTAATACACTCAATAAAAAATGTACATATCAACGGTCTTGCATCGTATGACAGATATCACACGAACTGAGGCAGAACGTGAAAATACTAAATATACATGCCGAACAAAACCTTAAGCCATTTTAACTTATATTTAAATTTTCTGTGTATTTTGGCTGTTTGGCATACTCGATTTTGAGTTAAAATACAAATTGACGGTAATCAATACATTAATATATTTTATGCTCCATAATTTAAACACTAGTCTGCAGGTTATAAAGAAATTACATTGAACTTACCATTACGAGAAGCAAGACAAGAATGAAATAGAATCCAAGCGCATGTAAAAAACACAACTCCCATCTCGTTGTGAAGTTAGTTTCCTTTTCATCTGAAGTCTTAACTATAGATAAAAGGTTAATGGTCTAGTCACACTGCGATAAATTCGAATTATTTAGCTGCATTACAGTACAAAGTGTCTTTTGGTCAGTCAATACGTGAACAACTTTGTTTAACAACTTCTTGATGATAAGCAACGTGGATCACGTTACGCGCACAGCAAGTACCAAAATAATTCCAGTTCCGGGCATTAGTTCTTAAAGTTCCGGTTAAAAGTTAAACAGAATTTGCTTCCATTTCCAAATTTACTATAACTGATTACGGAAAATAAAACACAGTAACTACTTCCATTAAATATTGGACCACGCTACAGCTTAAAACCTGTTTTACAATTTTTTATCGGTCCAAAAGAAAATTTTAAAATTTCCATCTTACAAAGAGCTTGTTTATTATAACTTTATATTATAAATAATTATACTGCGTTTTTAATACAGAAGTTTATTATATAGGCTAACATAATGTTAACACCTAGATGCCTCGGGATGTGTTCGATGTGTCGAATTCTTTGTATTAAAATTTGCTATACTGCCTACATGTCACGCTATTCTTTATTTTACAGTATAGTTTTTAACTACAAATTAAGGTACATTAATGATATGTGATATCTAACAATGTCCGTTTTCCTGCAGCCTCAGGGGCAGGAAGCAGCCAATGGGTTAATAATGCAAAGATTTTTAAAATTTAACCTACATTAATTTTAAGTATTAAGAGTAGTAGGCTTGTGTTTTTAGCTACATATAAATACCCAATACAAATATTTCAATGTACTTTTCAGCTTTTGATTTATCCTAAAGGCTTATGATATATTTTGGAAAATGTGTTGTATAAAATTTATTATAGGCAAAATTATCTTAATACAAAATAGGTAAATGTAATCTATTGATGTGAAAGCTATTATGCATAGAATAACAACATTTTCGTCAATAGATTAGGATAATTAATGCATTGCATCATTATGCCACTTGGATTATATGCCTTTGTATGCTTTTATTGTGATAATGTATTTTAAAAAACTTAATAATCAGGGTTCGAGAGAGTTATCTTCTTTGCCGTGCAAAATATTCATTCCTCTGGCAGTTTTATAACTCGTTTTTGGAATTTGATTCTCACACGAATTTCTTTTCTCAAAGCTGCGCGCAAATATTTAGTATAAGGACATGCTGAACTGTCAGTTAACAGGCGTGCATGGAACATTTAGACATAAGCTCTTAAGTGCGGAGAATAAAATGGTTGAATTTAATTGTCGAGTCCTCAACAACTGCATACCAGTTGAGCCATGCTTTGATGTCCAGATGCCATATGCTGCATTTTAGCTTACCACATCGTTAGCTTTTTCATGTGATTAATTGCCGCCTTTGGTTAAGACACCATAACTAATTAATATTATAACTAATGTTGCGGTATCAGTTATACTGCACCATTAGTTATGGTATTATTAGTTCTAAATAAACTATTAATTCATTATAACAATAAGCCTATTAGTTTATTAGAAACTATAAGTCTAGATTATGATTTGAAGGTTCTTTAATCTCCAAAGAATTAAATGGCTTCTGGAGACCAGAGATCAGTTGTAGTCTACTTCTAATATCAGCATATGTTCTAGTATTGTACTGTAGAACTGTAACTCATTTCTCTTTATGCTAAAGTTAGCATTTCTCTTGGTCCCTTTTCTGGTGATCGAAGAAAATTACTTCTCTTAAGATTATTTAGTGTTCTAAACAAATTGTTTTGTGCTTATAGACAAGCTAATAATTTCTTCGTAAATTTGTACAAAAGTGACTATATTAATTTTTAATTTTCAAAAACCTTATCCTGAGGACCTAGAGCTTTCAGATCGATCAACAGAGACATCATAAAGCAATATATAAATTCGATAAATAATATTCTAATAATCCAATGAGGTAGTACAGTTTCTAGTGGCAGATCTGTGATCATTTCCTCAAGGCTCAATCTCCCAATCTCGTTCTTTGAAACAGAAAAACTGATATCGTGTGATTGATCTAATCATGTGCATTCTGATTGGTCTTTGATGGGCTTCGTCTGCTGAGAATAATCAAAAAACGCAAACTAAATTAACTTACTCTCGGAATGAAAACCAAATTGAATTTCGGTTTTTTAAATTCTCTTGAGTAGCTGTACGCTAGACAGGTAGACAAATGGCGCTGTGTATCTCCGAAGTTCTACAGTAATTCTACTAGAGACAAGTAGCGTTTAAAATTCTACAAGTAGTGGTTCAATGATAACTCTATATTCAAAATGCGCAATCTAGTTTGAAAAAAACGAATTTAATTGAATATAACAAATTCTATAATCTAATCTAACATCTCATCGGTAGCATTAAAACTTCGGAATTAAAGCGTTGAATAGGATTCGATCTACAAATTTTAAGCAGGTTATCAAGAACATTCTTCATTCCCTTGAAGTTTGTAGCGTTATCACTCCGACCAATGGAGCGTTTGCATCGTCTGGCTATAAACCTTCTAAGACATGCTAGAAATGCTTCAGTAGACAAATTCTATACTATTTCTAAATCAAATAGCCTTTGTACTAAAGCAAATAAATATCGCGATATATGATTTTAAAACAACCCTAGATCCTTTCAAGTTAGGCTTGGTGATAACTGGTCCTGCAATGTCCAGTCCAATTTTTTCGAATGATCTGGTTATTACAATTCTATCTCTAGGTAAGTCTTGCATCATTTGGTTTATTGTTTGGTTTCTAGTCCGAAAGCAAGTCATCCATTTATTCAAAACACTTTTACCTCTGTCTTGTCCGGAAGGTATGCAGTATAATTGTCTAATCAGAGAAAGCTTTGTTTGAACGTCCAAATGAAGAGTTTTTTGTATAATGGTCTCTTCGTAATTCAGTGAAATGATAGCCTTTTGGTAAAAGGAGTTGATATTTCTACACTTCTGAAAGATTGGAAGGACTCACTCTCCTACTAAATGGTAAAAGTTCATCTCAATCAAGAAATACATTTAAGGATGAAACTTCTGAAAGAAGTCTAATGGCAAAGGATCATCCGATCTATCACAAATTGCCAAAATTGCTGCATTAGTATTTTTGCCCTAATAGTGAATGGACTTACAAATCCAATAGGATCGTAAAGTTTTCCAAAGGTTTTAAGAACTTCTCTTTTGATCACTAGCTTTGTTTTCCCTTGAGCTTGATAAGTTAGATTTTGTGACCCTATCTTCAAAAAGTCTTCCTTGTAATCACATTTATATCCCAAAAACCTTCTGTTGCAAAACTTTCCGGATTTCAACATTTTTGTATATGTCAAAAACTTCCTTCAAATACGCACAATTTTGTTTTCTATTTTCGCATGTTGAAATCAGCAGCTTTCAATATATATCTAATGTCTTCATATATGAGTTTAACTTCGTTTTCCTCTTTATCCCCACCTATTAAATAGTCTACGTATAAACATTCGTTCAGTATTTTAACTTTCTGATTTGTTTTTTAAAAGGTACTTATATGGTGTTTGATAAAGCAAACATAGGCTGAATGTAGCACCAAACAAGATGCTAGTTATCCTAAGTACTTTCGTGTTACGTTTACCATCCTTATCTGTAAGGCTATTTGCCCACAAAAGTCTTACAGTAGTCCGGAAATGGCATTGTAGGCTGCCCCACCTAATAATGACTTTAAGTAATTGAATTTATTTGCTTTTGATAGAGTCATTGTTATGGATAGCTGGGTCCAATTTATTCCAATTCCTTCCAGTTGCTTGAATTTAGAGATAGTTAATTTTGAAAAACGAGTAAATTTATTACTTTCGTTTTTGGAATCTGTAGCGGTTTCATTAGGAATGTTTATACTTTCATTGTCCGAATTTTCGGGTTTATTTAGTTCCTTGAATTTTGCTTTGCTTTAAAGTGCCACAGTTGGTTTTTTTCTTCTATTCCAGAGCGGATGTAACTTTAATTTAAATTAATCCGCTTCGGCTTTCATATCATATTCTATTTGAGTGTCTAAGTCACCCCAAGATTTCGATTAACTGGTCCAAAACTTCTTCAACTACATTTATATTAATGCCACCTTTACTTAATTCTGTCTCAATTTTCTTTAGTATCTCGGATACTTCGGTTATTTATAATTTTCGTTTCGATTTCAGTTTAGCTATCTTCTATGATTGTTTACCATAAAAGCAGAAAACTTAACCTTGCCTTGGCTGTCTTCGCGCACTTGCTATGCGCTAATACGACACTCGGAGACATTAATTTTCCAATATTACTCATCGACGAACCAAATGTGCGCTAAACTAATAGACAAATGGCGTTGCGTATCTCGGAAGTTCTATAATAATTATATTTGAAACAAACAGCATATAAAACTCTACAAGTAGTGGTTCAGTGATAATTCTATATTCAAAATGCCCAGTCTTGTTTAAAGATGAACTTAACTGAATATCACAAATTCTATAATTTAATCTAACATCTCATCGGCATTCAAACTGCGTCAAAGCTGACGCAGTCAAAGTTGACGCCGAACTGCGTCAAAACTGCGTCATCAGCATTCAAACTGCGTCAAAACAAATCGAAAATCGAGTTCTCAAGTTCCGACTGTTGCCATTCCGAGACAGAGAAAAGTTTCTATTCAAACCCAAATACTAGCCATTGCAGAAAAGACGCATATGAACCAGTAATATGAGGCTAATGCACTGGATAACACGGGGTTTTCTCAGCTTAGCGAAGTCATTTGCCATAATACGCAATTGAAGTTTGAAAAGGTTTCTTTCGAATGCCATAATGCTTATTTATCACTAATTAAATACTTTTTTAATTTATTTCAATTCAAAAGAATACCATAATGAAATACGATTCTCATTTGAAAATCCCTGATTAATTTTTTATATATTTCATGATGTGATGACCACGCATGCGCAATTTAGCCGAACGGCGTGCAACACCTCTCTCTCACATGACTTAAATTAGAAAAGAAAAGACTGATAGCTGCGAAGTAGCGAAGGTAACCCGCTGTACGCCAGCGTAGTAATGATAAACGTGGTTTCTAATTTTGTTTTAACTACTTGTTTTGTTTGTGTGTTAATAAAGTGTCGGTGTCGTTAAATGTCTGGTTTTGTGCAATGCCCACATTACGCTAATATCGACATTAAGAAGGAAGAATGTATCTAG